CAGCTGTATAAAAGTGGCGGGACAGCATCCATATTGACTGTAAACAAAAAGATTGTTTTCGCATTCGAGTCACCTTATATGAACACACGAGGGACCCTGTGGCTTTAATTGTTTTCTTCTTAATTTTTTGATGTCTATATATGCTTTTACCCCGTCATTTCAGTACTCTATTGTAGAATAGCGAAACCATACTTCTCTCTAGCTAACGTCCCTGTCTTTTTTTTCTTCTCTCTGCAAGGTGGATAGTTGGCGAGCTGGAAAGCAATCATCCCAAAGTGCGTGTGTGTGATGCAGCACATGGAACAGAACAATGCGGATAAAACAGCCGTAAGAAGGACACTCGCGGATACTGTGTTGTGTTACTCATGTTTTCTGCTCTGATCTCTGCATTGCTACATACACACGTTGTGATTACTTCGTTCTCTCTTTTGTTCGTGAAGATTTTATGAAGTATGACGCGTAAAGATCAGAGCATAGATGTTTTACGCAGTGCACGTAGACCTGGAAGAACGGGGACTACAGCTGTCATCAGAGAAGTGCTCGCTTATAGCATTCACGCATAAGGCGATGAGCCCACATGTTATTAAAATCAACGGACCCACGATCAACTACGTGAAGATCCACCAATTCCTCGGAGTCATAGTTGATCGCGACCTCTCCTGGAGCCCTCACATCGCCCACATGAAAACTAAGCTCACCATGATCACTTACGTATACTGCGATTTCTTGCTGGAAAAACGTGGGGTGCACCGGTACGAGCAACGCTTCAGCTCTACACTGTTCTGTTCCTCGGTTATATGCGATACAGCTTACCTGTGCTTTGCGGGATCCGAAGAACAAACTTGCGAGTCCTCCCGTTAATACAAGCCCAAGCACTGCGAATATGCCTTGGTCTTCCGAGATGCGCGTCTACAGCAGCGACAGTCATCATTGCGCGTGATTATCCAGTCAACACATACATCCGCGTAAACGCTTTGAGAATGCATCTAAGACATCTCGCTCGGCTTCCATCACATCACCTCGCCTCACTTGGAACTTCTAGGCCCCATTCAGCGTTCAGCGTAACTGTAGCTCAGCTCTTGCGCAGTGCTTCCATTGCACTTCACGCATGCAGCACGGCCGCCGATACCATTGTGGTGCCTTCACTCACTCAAAGTCCTTCTTACTATTCCTGGCATCCAAAATAAGAAAAAGTCGTCGCATCTGGCCGTGAAACAGGCCACATTACTCTTCCTGGAAGAGAAGCACAATGGACGCCTTCGCATTTACACGGATGGCTCGGTGTCTTCAGTAAGCTCAGCAGGGGCGGTGGTTATTCCCGCGAGGCACATCACAATCAAATTCATGACATCACATTTGACGTCATCGACAGCTGCAGAACTCGCCGCCATACGTGCAGCTCTGCAGTTTATAGTTGAAGAACTTTCGCGAATTTGGTCTATGTTCTCGGACTCGAAGGCAGCTCTTCAATGTCTTATGTCACCCTTTCGCCATGGACCTAATCAACAGTTAGTAGCTGAAATAAGGCGTCTTCATCATCAAGCAATCGAGAAACAGCACAGCCTAGTGTATCAGTGGATACCAGGTCATTGCGGTATACATGGTAATGACAGCGCAGATGATGCCGCTAGATCTGCACACGACGGTACCCAATACACAGCCATCCCGTTCTCAAGAACCGACGGAGCTACAAGACTCCGTTCACTTGCACGTGACGTCACACTGATACAGTGGAACTCAAAGGACTTCACAAACACGCGCCTGCATAACTTCGTCTTCGTCTACATAGCTTCGTCTTCCCTCAGGGATATCTCGAGCTGAGGAGACTCTTCTATGCCGCCTGTGGCTTGGAGTGGCCTTCATGAACGCATACTCCTATCTCATTGGAATGACCAGCTCTTCTACATGAACTTACTGCAGCTGCGAAGAAACCATCGCGCACCTTCTATGCGAGTGCACCCATTTCAGCGCGCCAAGACAAGAACTGACTGCAGCTCTGGATAGACTGGATGATCGGGCTTTGCTGGAACAAAGGATTCTGGGTCATTGGCCGAGCCCATCCTCAGCTCAGAAGGCTTTGAAAGCTTTGCTGCGCTTTTTGCGGACAACTGGCCTAAGAGACAGACTTTAGTGTCTTGTGCTCTTTGATGTAACTTTTCCTCTGTCGCTATTTTTTTGTAATTACTCTCTCTCTCTCTTCGCAACATTTCTTTTTATCATCTTTTATTCCTTTCACCCCTTTGGTGCGCGATGGTTTTGCTCCTCCCCTGTCCTGTATTTTTTCTGCTGTTGCGCTGTAAGTAAGTTGACGATGTTTCCCCAGCACATGGTAGCCAGCCGGTCTAAGAACTGGCTAACCTCCCTGTCCTTCCGCTTAAACTTTCCTCCTCCTCCTCTTTTTCCGCACGTAGATCTTCACTGTGCTAATAGGGATGACAGCGAACCGCAAACACACGGCAGAAACAAAGTGATTAAAGTCATAGGGACAACGGTCAAACGGAAGACCAGAGGTTGTGACGCAAGAGGTTATCCTGTTGACATCAGCACTGTTACCAACATGCACGCGCACAAATGCATACACACACACTTACATACAAAACCACACACGCACTCACACACGCACGCGCGCACACACAGACACGTGTCTTCGCAACAAGACGACTAAACAAGTGTTTCGCAGAAATTCTTGCAGGGGAGTGCATCCAGAGGAAGGGAAGCACAAGCAGCCTTCCTCTGACTGCCGTGACACGACCTGCATAATCAGTGAATAGCGTGGAAAGTGCAAAGATGGCTGGCAATGGTGCAGGTCGTGTCACCCGGCTATGCGAGCCGCGAGTGTGCTAATCAAGCTATGTAGCGTATTGTACCACACATAAGTATACCTTGTCCGGACGTCCGTGCGTCTAAAATTGTGTGCGGGGGGGAGGAGATTTCGGCCGTCGCCTCTTCCTCGTGAACACTGCGTGTACACGGAACGCGTTGCGATTGCGCCGGCAGTGCTCCCCGTCTCCATGGTTACGCTCGCAGAGCCAGAGTTCCGGGGGTAACTGGCATTCATTAGGCACGCCCGATCGACTGCGCTGCCCGTCGTCATGCGTCGCTGTGTTGCGTCGTTCCGGCGGAATGAGTGCGCGCCGCTCCCGTGTCGTCTCCGCGATAACCGCGGTGCACACGAATGTGGGTGTGCGAGCGGCCGCGCAGCAACCGCGTCTATTCGAACCACTTGTGGGCCGAAGAAGCAGCAAAATAAACGGTGCACCGCTGGCTTCCGGGAAACGCCAATCGGTGTAGCACATATGAGCGGGAATGCTCAGCTTGAACGACTGTGCCAGCCATGAGCTCTCTGGGAAACTGGGCAACTTTCAAGGGTAAACATATTCAGCAACGAAATCAGCGTGGGAAGCTGAGAGACCAAGAACGTGAAAAGACAAGTTGACTACGTTTGGTGTATCCGCGCTATATACAAAGCCGTATACAGACGGCTTACACTACACTGCATGGGAAGATAAGCGCACGTTTTGTCTTTTTCGCATTTCTTGAGCATTTGTTGTCTGGCATTGCTCTACCTGAATTATGAGCTCAAACCAACTTGCACATCTATTCGCTATTCTGCGGTATACAGACAAATTGAAAAGCATGTGCATGAGGTTCTTTAACAGTCAAGCTGTTCTCAGTCGACGCTTTGATGTAAGTGGAGCGCGGTAAAGCTTGTGGACATCATATACGCGTATCCACCACAGATATTATGGGTAAACTCACTAGTCCCAACTGATACACTAAAAATGAAGGAGTCGACAGTTAGCCCAACGAACAAGTATGTGCGCCATAAATGTGTGCGGCCTACTAGAAAACTATCACGATCTTATACGCATATGCGCCACAGAAATCGGCTAAATCCCACCACGCACAGCTTTCTCTAAAATAAAGTAGATGGAAACTGCCAGCCCTACAAATGGCGTGCGCTTATGCATAGTCACACCGCTGTCACCTTGTACATTGTGGATATCAATGGTGGTGGTTATACTGGCATCTTAATCTTTAACGAAGAGTGGTTAATAAAGAGACGCGATATAAAATACGCGAGAGACTTGCGGAACGTGTAAATGCGATAGCCAGACGAAGCTTCGCTGTTTTATCGGTGTTTACAAAACGGAGCTGGTTGATTTTTTTCTTTTCAACGAGAAGAGCTCAAAGCAGTACTACTGTTTTCTTTTTTAGAATGAACAAGAATAGAAATGCCTCACAGGTATGTCGAAATGATATGTTCTGCTACAGGGCTACCCGGTCGCTATTTTATTGCAAAGCAACGTTATATGACGCATAAATTTACCAATTCCGGTGCGAATAAACCAACACGGCAGTGTATCCCCAGTTTAAGTCATGAATGAATACTTACGAAAACGACACTCACCCTTTAGTGTGCAGGTATTGGACGTAGACATTATTACTTGCAATGATTGTAGTGCGTGTGTGCCTCCATGCGTGTTATAAGTGAACATGGGACTATCGTGCTTACGTGTCCAGAGGGGCCTCAAAAAGTCTTCCACGCGTGAAAGAGCGTAACACGAAGAAGTAATAAAGTACTGATTTGTCTCGCTCAGATTACTGCCCGGCGTTTGGCTATAATTGGGTATCAGTCCTGAAGCTACTAATTTGCAGGCATTTATTAGCAATCGCAGGTTGAGGCAGACAACTAGTACACATTGGTCGCTGGATGCACGGGCCGTTTCAGTGATAACTCCAAGACTTTCTCTATCAAGATATATTGTGCATTTATCTGTGACCCCGTGTTGTTGCGTGCTTAAAGGCAGGTTTTCGTAATTTAAAAAAATCAAGAAAAATGTTCGCCCTCATCAGAAATCACACAGTCCGAACTCTGTCTAGCAAGCTAACGTTTTCGTAAATGGACATCATATTATAGATATCTGACCTTACTGACAGTTTGCACTTCCTCGTAGCGGTGGGAAAGAGTTGTGGACAACGACCATACTTGTACTCACAGGGATTCGGATTTTCCCTTCGCATGCGTCGCTCGAAGCGCGACATCTTGATGCGAGGATAAAGGGCGCTGGCAGACCGCACCAGGCGCAGGCCGGCCCGGTCGGCAGATGCCAGGGTGGACACCTTGCCTCGCATGTGGCTTTCGGACAGGTTGCTGCACGAGATGCTCTGCGGCTGCTTCATACGGGTCTCTGTAAGGGCAAGTAGACAGGCATACCCTTAGCAAGTCATTTGATACATTTAGGAAGAGTTTCCTAGGTCAACTTGGTCTGAACGAGGTCTACTTTTTGCACAACACACAGTTCACACGATAGGAACCGCACCATGTTACGGATTGTCTGACCCGTTTGAATGCGCAGAGCGACCCTAAAGGATATTTTGTGACCTTCCCTAAATTTATGTGAGCGGCAGCAAGCAGTCAGGCCTTGGAAACGAAGGGCATCTAACCTTTCTCTGGTGCAGTTACTGTGACCAGAGCATTGTTCCCTGTAACAACTTGTGAGCTTTACATTATCCTATTCTCTCCTCTATCATTCTTGCCACCTGTGGTACATATTCCCAAACACGTTAAAGTAGGAATGAGCTTCCTGTATACATTGATTGATATGTGGGGTTTAATCTCCCAAAAACCACCATATGATTATGAGAGACGCCGTAGTGGAGAGCTCCGGAAATTTAGACCACCTGGGGTTCTTTAACGTGCACCCAAATCTGAGCACACGGGCCTGCAACATTTCCGCCTCCATCGGAAATGCAGCCGCCAAAGCCGCGATTCGATCCCGCGACCTGCGGGTCAGCAGCCGAGTACCTCAGCCACTAGACCCCCACGGCGGGGCTAGCTAGTTCCTATATACAAGCTAACCCATTATGTACAACATTGTACCACTGTTATAGATTAATTACGTTTTTCGTCAATGTTGAAAATTTCATTTCTTTTGAACCTTGTGTCATACATTTGTTTTCTTGTAGTACGTTATTGATATTGCCACTTACATTCGTGTACCCTGATTGGGCCCGAATCGGGCCAGTAGTATTTCTGAATAAATATCAAAAAATAAATACTGTCGCAGTAAGTGGAAGTGCACGCCAATTTTAAGATTTTGATTAACTTCAATCAGGGGTAAAGCATCCATTCAGCTTTCACGAGTAGTTGTTTTTTCGTATATAAAGAACGAATGTGTCAGATATGGTTAACAAAAATATCTCTCTGTACCAGTCTTGCGTACCTTGTTTGAAGACTTTCCGCGTTATATGTGTGCCCTAGATGTCGTGCCGTGCGAACCTTTACATTTTTAGGCACTAGCTAGTCTCATCTTACTTGAAGCCTCTACTCTGTCGTGTGTCGTATGTGACGACAAAAAAAATTATACCACTACAGCTGACGCAAAAGTGTGTGCCGTAATTTTCGAGGCAAGTTCTGGCGATCGAAATGACGTTGTGGAAGAAACCGGCCAATGAAAAAAATCTTTGTCGATTGGCTCCTGGAACTAATGGAAGCCTTATATATCGCCACTTTTGTGTGAAAAGCCTTCAGTTAATCATTCATTTTCGCCCCAGGTGTACACGAGTGCCCGGTGTCAGCAACGAAGGGGGCCATACCAAAATTTTCCCAGTCGACTCCTGTGGCCTGGCGTCGTCGCGCTATCTCGAGCCATTCGGGATCCCTCTTGCTGCCTTCCTCGTGGGAAGAAAACGGCAACCGACCGGGACGAGACAGCGACCGGCAGCGTCTTTCGGAGTCGTCCAAGTAGCGGTCTGAAGGAGAGGACAGTAGGTGCCGGTCCCAGGACATGGTCTTAAAAGCTGGCGCCGGTGCGCCATCTGCACCTGCGCGAGATGATGCTGTCAAAGTGCCATCCGATCAGAGAAAAAAAAATACACCGACGCTATAGGCGTTCGTTCCTTGAGAGAGGCACACAGAGTTAAGCCACCGCCTTGGAGGTAACGTAAAGGTGGAATTGCGAAACCTTAGATTATTGAACCATTGAACATTGGCGTGACATAAATAATGACCATAAGGACCAACACAATTCCCAGGGCACGACACTGACAACGTGACTTGCATGTTGAGTAGTTCATGAAACCTTGCCCTGCCGTCCATCATGTGTGACACATACTTACGTAACGCGACCTTTGGTATACTGGCATGGGCCACCAGTGATTCAGTCATTATCGCAAGCAATAAAGAGCAATAACGCTACGTGTGAGCGTGTCACTGGTTCCGTTTTTCCTCCTATCTTCTTCTATTATTTTCCTCCCCTTTCCCTCTCCTCCCGTGTAGGACAGCAAACCGGATACAACATGGTTAACCTTCCTGCCTTTCTTTTGCCTGTCTCTCAGCAAGAACATATAGGGAAGTGTGTTTCTGCTCCACTAACGTTGTCGGATATTCATTGAGCGAACTGTTGCCTTCTTCATCGTTAGCGGACCAGTAGGGAGCTCTGGTAGTGGCAGCCCGTTTAATTAATGGGAGCCGGTGTGCAGCTTGTTTGAAATATAGTTATTGTGACCTTCCCTCACGCAGCTGGTGTCCCAATTTTCATTTCACTGTTAGCCTAAACATTTTCATTAAACTTGCCCGACGTTTCAACTAATTTCTTGTTTCGCGCTCAAAATTGTCTAAGAGACCTTCGTGAGTTGACTCAATTTTCAGCCGTACGACCTTCGCAGGAATTCGAGAGTGGAATGTACAAAGCAATAAAACGCTTTGCTGGGCGAGCTGGTTCATGCTCTTAAAGCAAATGAAAAACGCCTAAATAAGAAAGGCGAAATGCCCGCCTTTTTGTCTCTCTTGTGCTGTTTTTTTTCTGCGCCTTGAATTTAGATGCGAGAGCACCTTATGCTCGCCGCAGTGTCCGCTGTGTGGCGTCCACACCCATACTGGACATGCGCAGTTCTTCCTCATTCTCTACCACGCGGATGCGCGTTCTGCCAACGCCGACTAAGTTTCAAGGCCGTAAGGCTGCCGCAGTGACGTCAGAGGTTGGGGGCCCAGTTGCCCAACTGAGCATGCTCAGTAAGACTTTTTTTCCACATCTTTTATTCGGCCCAATCTAGCCGCAGCAGCTGCGAGAGCGGGAGCGTTGGTACTCCTAAAACGTGAACGAAACACAGGCTTTCCGCCGCGTTCAGGCGTAACTGGGCCCCCACCCTCTGACGTCACTGCGGCAGCCTTTCGGCCTTGAAATTTAGTCGGCATTGGTTCTGCTCCCCTCTCCGCCACAGGTTCCACGCATTAAGTCATTGCATTTAACTCTCTCTCTTTCTCTCTCGCTCTCTCTCTCTCTCTCTCTCGAAAAGCACGCTGGTAGGCGGCGCAAATGTCATGGCGCGCGTGCGTTCGCTGTGCTTCCGTCATTTTCTCTCTGCTAAACGCTGTGCGAAACAATATGAACGACATCAACGTCGGCGCTATTTGCAGCGGCAGCGCCACCACCGCGGAGCAGAGGAAGCCTCGGGAAGCCGAACGTAAACGTCGACAGGTAACTTCTACGACAGCAACAAGGACTCGGCACGCCAAAGTGGAACGTCATCGTTTCAAGCCCACCCTGAACTCCGGGCTCGGAAAGTTGAAATGGGCAGCGTCGAGCGGCAGCTCCCGATTCCGAAGCCATTAGGCAACGCGAGTCTGCGGCCATAGCCACCGCCGACCACAAAGCCCCCGCGATGCTTTCGCATCCCGCCATAGTTGTCCGTAGGGGGAGATGATGCGTAATTTTGTTTTAGGAATGCACAAGCACCTGTGTGGAGAGGTGTCAGGTGGTGTTATATGGAGTGTAGATGGCAAAACTGCAGCTGGGACAACTTCGATGTCCTTCGCAGTCCAAAAACGCAGTAGCTCCCTGTCAAAACACGCACTTACTGAAAGGACGGCAGCTTTCGGAACGAGACACCGAAGGACCCGAGGCGTTGGCTCCACCACGTGCCTTGGCCCTGGGCAGAATGCGGAAGTTGATGTGTATTTCCGGTGACGACGGCTGCGGCACGGTGGTCGCTGTCGTCTCCTTGGCGCGTGGTATGCGTGGTATGGAGTCCAGTACCTTCGGCACAGCGCTGTACGCTCTGTGTGATGAGCAAACAATACATGTTAATGCAGCTGTCTCTCAGTGCGTGTTCGTAAAGCATACATTTTGGATTACGTCACAGTGCTATCTCACCCAAATATCTCGTTTCATGCCATGTTCATAAGTGGTACACTCTACATGTCGCCCTGCGACACCTAAACGTTAAACTAAATATATTCGGTCGGTCACGTTACTGAAATGCTGATGAACAGAAAATTGATACACCATGCCCGCGTACACTGTGTTAAACTACGTGCATGTATAATTCTTGGATGCCATTCAAGCGCGCGCATCAAGTCAGCGGTGTTTTGTACAGACTAGGATCATCGGCAACTTTTGTTTGCAAGCAATGTTGCTACTTTTTGAGGCCTAGCATGACGAAGCCCCAAATAGAAAAATGTGCAAGACATTGAGAGAAGACAAATAATATAATGAAAACTGCACTTCGAGGGAGTCCACTTGAACACACTTACGCACGTTCATACTTGTTCAAGTACGAGCGTGCCGCAGGTGGAGATAAGATCGTCCAACAGTAAAATGAGTCTATCCATGAAGTATTTAAACTGGGTTCAGTAAAAATAATATGTTGATCCGATTGACACACGCGGAAAATCTTAATGATTGTTTCGGTGGGCGACGAAATACCGCTTCCAACATGATTCCATCCTGGCCACGGCGGCTGCATCTTAGGTGTAGGCGAAAATGCAAGAGGCGTATGTACTTAAATTTAGGTGCACGTTAAAGAACACCATATGATCGAAATTTCCGGAGCCTTCCACTACAGCGTTTCCCATAGTCATATCTTAGTTTTGGTACGTTAACATTCAACGATAATTATTATATATCCAACCCGATTCCCACACTGCAAAGGCTCCCTGAAAGTATGCTGCTGTAATCTCTTTCAGAAAGACTGCGACAACCCATTCAATAGCAAGAACACCTTCTAAACGGTCCCTTTTCAGATTCCTTTTGAGCTTTTAGAACAAGAAGAAGCTTGCTAAACTCTGCAGCCCTGAGATGAGCCCGGCAGAAATCTTCCTGCTCCACTGAATTCATAACGCATGAAATTGCCTGAACATATTCACAGTCCCCACAATCCGCAGCCCAAATCAAGGCCACATCGTCATACGCAGTCGGACCTCTTCAGTCTTTGGTTATGGCAATCTCGCCAAAATTAAGAGTCATTAGGCTTTATTTCGTCAGCCCTGACTTTACAAGTGGATGGCTCTCTTTGAAGAGAGAAGTAAACTCTTCTCAGAGAATTTTTCACAAACGGGTGCATGCGCGTGCTTCCACAAAAAAAAAAAAAAGAAGCATTCTCTTTACTGACGTACCACAATATGAAAGGCGACGCAAGTCACTCCTTTCGATTTACATAACGATTACAAGTTATGCTTTTTATGGTATTGTCATCGATGCCGAACACTAAGGAAAAACGCCAATGCATTTGTCCGAACGTTCGGTCTTCGTGTACGACTTCCTTGACCCCAGAACATAATTCCGTCCATTACAGCTATTTCTAAGCTGCTCCATGACGAATTACCTCTCATAAAAATAAGCTGCATTGTTTATTTGCACGAGTATCTTCGCACGTTCCACATCCGACACCAAATCGCACCTGTCAGGACTGTTTAAAACTGTTGCCACATGCGTGACACGTGCTGCACTGTGTTGACCCGGGAAATGCACCAAGCACCGTAACAGTTACGAAACTGTCTTCCGCCAGGCGCCGTAGGCGTACTTGGGCCCAGAAGTCTGCCTGTTAGCTCGCAGTTTAAAGGCCGCCTTGGTAGTTACTGTGACTCGTATGGGAAATGGGGCAGTAGGAATGGGGCAGTACGTGTTTCGTACCAGATGATGGAAAGCGCGGAAGTCAAAGATCGACCGTTGTCAATCAATCAATCAATCAATCAATCATTTATTTCGCGCAAATTGGTAGTTACAGTTGGGGATTATACAGATGCAGAGAGAGGTCCCAAAGTCAACAAATTGTACAGGGGACGGCCCATAAGGAATGAGTAACAAAAGTACTCCTCCTGACCACTGCATGGGAATCAAATATATTTTAGTGTAGCATAGGCACATTAGGAGTGCTTGAGGTAACTCATAATATGATAATTGACGGAGTTTAACGTCCCAAAACAACATGTTACGAGAGACTACATAGCGGAGGGCTCTGTAAATTTTCACCACCTGGAGTTCTTTAACGTGCACTTGAATTTAAACACGCGGGTCTCGAGCATTTCTGCCTTTATCGAAAATACGGCCGCCGCGTCCGGGATTCGATCCCACGACCTGCGGGCCAGCAGTCGAGCACTGTAGCCACAAGACCACCATGGCGGGTCGGTGTGAGGTAACTCAAAATGTACATGACATAAAATACTAAGCTGGAGCTATCTCTGCAGTTATATAGACGAAAAGCGACCCCCGGTATTTAGCAAAAAAAAAAAAACTGCTAATTCATGAAGTTAGGTAATTTATGTAGAGGTCGTTGTTGTGACGAACCACGAAGTTTTACCGGCAGTATATCACTTGTGTCCAGAGATGATGTTCTTTACAGACTGCATTGCTGTTAAACCATCTCTCTACATAGGCATGCTCTGGCCTTCTCGCTTTGTCTTTGTGCAACAGCCTGTTTGCGCGTACAACAGCTCCTCCGCTTGTACGACAGCTCCTCCGCTTGTACAACAGCTTCTCTGTCTGTACAACAGCTTCTCTGTACAACAGCTTTTATGTTTGTATAACAGCTTGTCTGTTTGTCGTGTGTCCTGTATGTGGTTTGTCGTGTGTCTTCTCCACCCGCCCGCCCGTCCGTCCGTCCGTCCGTCCGTCCGTCCGTCTGTCTGTCTGTCTGTCTGTCTGTCTGTCTGTCTGTCTGTCTGTCTGTCTGTCTGTCTGTCTGTACATCCGTCTGTTTCGTTCTATTGCACTTGTCTTGTTTTGTGCGTTTGTCTGTCTGTTGTTTAGGTCATAAGCGTGTTTCTTAGCATATTACAGGAGCACCGCACCGCAACATAGCAGTTGCTACAGTTTGACGTCCCAAAATCCTGATATTGTTATGAGGAACGCCATGGTGGAAGGCTCCAGAAATACCGATCACCAGGTGTTCTTTAACACGCACATAAAGCTAAGCACAAGGTCTCTAGCATTCCGCCTTCATCGAAATGCGGCCTCCACGCCAGAGTTCGATACCGAAGCCTTCAGGTCACCATTCGAGTACCATAACTAGGTGACGAGTGGCATTCTTCATTCATTCGTGCCCAGAGATATGTCCACTCGTACGTTTGCGTATGCGTTATCTGTCCTTCGGACCTTTTTTTTTTTTTGTATGGCCAGCAGTTTGTATGTCGTGTGTCTTGACTGTCTTGTCTTGAATTCTCTGCCTGCTCGGTTGCTTGCTTATATTTTCTTGTTTTGTCTGTCTGTGTGGCCTGTTGTTTTGACCATATGTTTGTGCCTTATCATTAAAGAATCAACTCACCCCACTCCCGGTGATCCGGAGAGGGTTCCTGGAGCCGCACCCGTGGTCGAAGCACCTGAGGTGTGCCTCCTCCTGGACCGACGTCTTCTCTCCATGATGGGCGTGTCGGCGAACTCCGGCGGAGGCGTGAGCGTCGGTGCAACGGGGTCTGGTGAACCCTTGCCTGAAGACGACGAGGACGAGGACATGTCAAGGCTGCAACCCGAGTCAAGACTGGACTGCCGCCGGTGTCCCAGGATGGTGCCACCGACGCCTGGACGGACAACGTCGGACTTCTTGGACGTCTCCAAGAGGCCTCCGGCGGATGCCGGCCGCTCGGAGTCCGCGATGAATCGGACTCCCGGCTTGTTCCCGCTGTTGGTCTCGCTCTTGGCGCCGTTTTTGTTGGTGATATTCTTGTTGTTGTTGGTCTCGGCTTGTTGCTGATTCGTTCGATTGGGCTTCGGTTTAGTGTCTGCTTCGTTGACGTTATCTGTAACAGGCAGACGAGAGCACACAATAAGCAAGTGTGATGACTTTGTATGCACACCCGTGCAGTACGTACTTCTCGCTGTGATTTGCAACGCGTAACATTGCCCGTTTCAAACAATCCTAGAAAGCCCTATGCAAGTACAGCTGTGAAGTACCTCGTAAGCCCATTTTTTTTTTTCTTGGGAAGGGGAGGGAATAGGCGATGTACAACCCTACGCGTTCGTAAGGCAACACGCATAGCTACACAGCTGATCACTTTGTTCATGCTCCCGTTACTGCTGATGATGATCAGTTATGTACGAGCGCGTTAAAATGGATGGGCCGTAACATTCTCAACTTGTCGCGTAATTCACGTGCTTTGACGACTGGTGCCATTCCACGCTTGTGCCACGCAATATTTGCGTTAAGGATACTTCTCATGCTACGTGACATTCATATACGTTTTTTTTTTTTAGGTGCGAAGCAGCTTTTGCTCGAGGCTGTGTCCGTCCCTCGGCGACCGTCTACTCCCCAACTGCGCATGTTCCAACTCTCACCCCTCTCCTCGCGTGAACGCGAGAAGGTGTAGAGGAGGAAATGGCAGAGCGCTGCCTCCACTTCGTTTCTCTCCTCCCGTTTATCTCTCCACCACAGCTGTGCGCTCGCATATAATGCTGCGCGCGATCGCTCCGTCGCACTTTCATTTGCAACGGCGTATGGACGTAAACGTTGGCGCCGGTTGTAGCGGCATCGGTAACATAAGCTGTGATAGCAGCGCAAGCACAACCACTGAGCAGATGACGAGAGCTCGCGAAGCCGAACGTAAACGATAGCGCCGGCTATCAGACCCCGAACTCCGAGCTTGTGAAGTCGCAAGGAAACGGCAAAGACAGCAAGTGGAGCCTGAACTCCGAGCGCGCGAAGCCGAACGTTATACACAACTCCACACACAAATGAAACGTACACGAAAACATACAAATGGAAATACAAGTGAACACCAGCGCCTCTTTGCATGCCCACATGGTCCCCTTCAGTGGAAGATGGTGTAAATTTTCGTTTGTTTGCTACACAGTTGCAAGCACGCGAAGGGCAGCACCTGCTCGCCACGGGCAAGACATTGGTTACACTCTTACTCGAGCCGAAGCTTTTGGTCAATTTATTTGCATCTATGTCTATTTTCTCTCACATAAAACGACAAATTTGCGCTCCCAACCACAGACACTGACGGCGACAACGGAATATCTGCGAAACAAGCCCGTTAACGCTGCCGCGTTAAAGAACTTCAAGCTGCATCACGCTCATTGTTCTAAGCTTGAAGGAAGACTGGAACTTCGCGGCCTACACTGTTTCTCTCCGGCTTTCTCTGTTCTGGCAATTTTTTCTTTTTGACTTCCTCAGTGTTTTGCGTTTTTTCTTTATTTCTAGGATTTTATCAGTGGTTTTCTTCCAGTTTCTTGTTCCTTTCTTTTTCACTCTTTCTATTTCTCGCTCGTTTCCTATTTTCAATTTTTTATACGCGGTGTTGTCTTCGTTACGCCAAGCGACGACAGCAGACAACAGCACATGACAGCCAGGGCCTTTAAAGTGCTCCTAACAGACTCAGTGATGTTCCGTACTACGCCGAAGAATTCCCATTCATAGACATGAAAATTCTCTATTTCGTGGATTTCTCCCTGCAAACGTTGACGAAATTCCCAGCGAAATTCTCTGCACAACACTCTTAATTCCCGCCACTATCCACGCACTATAATTACAAGTGTCTCATGTACTAGCGACTTTTGAAATTATGACTAACCCCTCCACTGCCGCACAACAAAAGCATGGCTTCATTCATTCATTGGTATGTGGGGTTTAACGTCCCAAAACCACCATATGATTGTGAGAGACACCGTGGTGGAGGGCTCCGGAAATTTCGACCTCCTGGGGTTCTTCAACGTGCACCCTAAATCTGAGCAAACGGGCCTACAACAGTTTCCGCCTCCATCGGAAATGCAGCAGCCACAACCAGGATTCGATCCCGCGACCTGCGGGTCAGCAGCAGAGTACCTTAGCCACTAGACCACCGCTGCGGGGCATGACTCCATTCATTCATATACTGTTAGAACATTGCACATTGCGGGCTTCAAGTCTAACACGATGTACTAGTGAACTGTAGAAGTCGCTACGCGTAAATATCAGAAACAAATCTCAAAGACCATGCTTGCGTGGTGCAGGCGTCAGAACCGATTACACCAGATGAAGGCACACTGTGGCCGCTAATTATCGGTCGTCATAGGAGAATTTAACCATTGCTGAAATTCCCTGCAATAATACGAGGATTCCCTTTTTCTCCTTTGGTTCAAAATGACAGACAGAAATTTCCCGAAAATGGGGAAAATTCCCTGCACGGAACATCACAGTCCTAACTCGAAATCCGACCATCAAGCCACTCGACGAAGAAGAGGAAGACTTCGTGGCGCGAGCGCGCGCTCAGTGTGCTAAAGATGTCTGCGCAAGATGTGGTTTCAACCACTTTACGCCAGTGTTGCGTGTGTCGCCTTGTTCCCGTCTTCGTGCGCATAAGCGACGACAACAGCGTCCCTATACGGGCCCCTATACGGTGCGCGCATCTAAAAATTAGCAGCACTTCAATATAGGGCACGTATAATATCCGCCTTCGTTGTTTCGCCTGATAAACAACACTCCATAATAAATCCTATCCGTAGATATGAAAGTGGTATGAACGTTCGACATCCCGTAACAGTCAGTGCGGCCGGTCGCGTCCGTTATCGGCATGCCGGACACGTGGCGATTTTAAAAGAGAAAAAGGCAGCGAATAAGCGGCGGTGGCTACTGGAGCGTGGCATCAAGATATATGCTCGCGGTGTTGTGGCGGAATTCTATTTCCAGGTCGTCGCGAAGCGTCCGGACCGCGTTCGCATTTCGCACGGACACAACGAGAGCCGCGTGAAACATTGGCGCAGAAGATGAAGAAGAAAACGGAACGACACGAAACTGCTCTTGGCAGGCATATTGGCAGCCACGAAAGATGAAATAGTATAAAACACGAAAGGGGCGATTCGCGAAAAAGAAAAAAATTGCCCGCAGCTTCCCTCGGGGGAACACTGAGGAGGATGCGGACCATATAATTGGTTAACGGGGTGTTAAAGTGCGACTTACTTGGGTCGATGGCTAAATTGGTTAACGTGGTTGTGAAATGGGGTGTTAAATTGCGACTTACTTGGGTCGATGGCTAAATTGGTTAACGTGGTTGTAGGAGGGGGTGTTAAATGAGTGAACACGTACGCACGTATGCGAAAGGGCGGCGCTGGTCGAAGGGACGTCGATCATTGTGTTTGTGGATTCGTTGGAATTCATTTCACCACGACCTTGGACGTCGACGCGCCGTACAAACCAACCGACGAGCGGCAACTGAGCCAGCGAGCGCCGACCTTGAGTATATATACAGCACGACGGCGCATGCACTGTCAGCTGTTGAATGTTCTCGAAGCGCGACGCCACATGCGCGTCCACTGGAGAATCAGGAGAATTGTAGATGTCGAACGCGGTGTGTAGAGGAGGAAGGGTGCACAGATGGTGGAGGAGTGAAGCGCGCGCGGTGTGTAGAGGAGGAAGGGATGCACAGATGGTGGAAGAGTGGGCGACGGCGCGACGGCGCATGCGCGCGCGTCAGCTGTCGAATGTTCGAGAAGCGGTGCGGACGGCGCGGACGGCGCACTACAAGGCGCGAGTATAAGATGCTCCGCATCTAAAAATAATAATAATAATAAAGAAGTCGTTGGCAGCGAAGCCTATAGCACGCGTCCTGAGTGAAACTCGTTCCCACCGTTTCATCCGGTCGCTTCCGGCTTCCACGAATACCGTGGGGCCACAACCGATGACCGATATTCCGCGCTAAACCAAAAAAAAAACTTGCTGTTGCGAGGAAGAACGAAAATGGGAGATAAAAAAAAAATAGGCAGCCTTTCTCTCCACTTTCTTCATAATGTTTCTATGTCCGGGCGAGAGAGACTAACTGAGTTTCGGTAGGCTTAGCACCGCAACTCCATCGCGAGGATGTTCGCGCGTCAGACCGTAATGCGGTGTTGTTGTCCCGCACAATGCACGCGTGCCACACGATTCAGTCCTCACGTATATCTTTTGTCGAAACTTCCTGCAGCTGACCAGCCCCGCGTCCGCATTCGCGTTGCAAACGTGACCTGCTAGTGTGCTCATGGCCGATTGTGTGCCCGTTAGTTCAGTGGATGCATACATTTCAACCATCCTCTTTATGAATGCTTTGTTTGAAGAGATAAATTCGGTTTAATGCTTTAAAAGGGGGGGGGGGGATATTTTGCACTAGCCGTGTGAAGCACACGAAACAGCGAGGCGTTTAAATTTTAGCTGCCTAACGAGGCATTAGAGAGTTTTAGTACTGCGGAATGGTGCTACGTACGTATCACGCAAGCGCCTTGCGTTACGTGGCGTCGTTTGCCACTAATCGGCTTTCAGTACGCCGTAGTACCCGCGTACGTAACGGGCGTGAAGCGTGTTGCGCCATCTGGTTGATCAAAATAGAAGCACGTGTTGTTGACAGCCAATGTGAGCCAACCCAAGTGTTATAGCCAGATTATGGACATATTTTAAGCCACAGAGCCGGTTGGTGCTTGACTTCGATGCCGCCATTTTGCAAAACGAACTCACGCGCTGTCGCGAACTTGTTCGAGAGCGGCGCGATCACCTCATACGTACTCACGCACGCATCTCATGCGTGCGTACGTAGCGGCTGCAAACGTAATGCGATACGTGCGCGTTGTGGTCTGCGCATGCGCACTACACAGAACGTGGCGTCCTTACGTACGCAACGCCCCCACGTACGCAGCGTACGCAGTACTAAAACTCTCTATTCTTGGCTGTTACTGAATCTTTCTTTGACCTAAACAGCCTACAGTAAAACCACAGCCTTCCCCAGACCATGCAAATAATGTCGTAACTCTAGCGCCAGAACTAACGAGCAAAGATAACTGTGGCAACTCTGGTGTGGCACCGCTGGTGGTAGTGGCACCCCTGGTGTGGCACTCTCTTTCGTCGCTACTACTCGGCTCGCGCGGCGGGCAAACTCGGTTCGGCAACTGCTCGGACTGTCTCCGTCGTTGGGCGCGGCTGTTAAGCAACGGCACAGGATAAACAATGGCGCGGAGGAATTTTCGTATAAGTTCGACATTTTACCTCGAGCTTTAAGGGCATCGTTATTATTAATATTAGTTTACTAAATGAAGACTTCAGTTCTCGAATCTTTTGTCATGTATTTATAGCGTATTCCTCGACTAGGCGTGCTTCCCTGCACGTGTTACTGCTAATGAAGAAAAATATTATGATGATGAAAACATCATGTGCATTGAAGACACTGGGAAGAACCCGCGCCACCCGGTCAGTCCCACGTAGGGTCCGCGAAGCCGAGTTGGGCGGCCAGTTTTGTTCGAATTTTTTCAACCAAGTACGCGACGCTGTGACCATAGCTGTTCTGCGGAAAGTGCGCAAATATTTAGCCTTCCTCACTCTATCGGATTCACGGACACGCTTTATGAAGCAGCTTTTATAAGGCGGCTGAAGCGAACATTTTCGATGAGAAGGACGAATCACTGATGATACGCACTTTATAGCGTAACCGTACAGGGGTCATTGTATAGGGTGCGACTGCCATATATATGACTGAGGCAACAATTTGAGGGTCACATTTGCCAGACTTTGCAAATAATAACAGACATGGAGTGCCATGTATCATCCCTGCAGCCCACAGTGACTGTCGAGTTATATAGCGTGTGCCATTTATATTGTTGGCCAGCTACTAGCCGTAAGAGGAGGTCACGCGGCACGCTTCTTGCTCAATTTTCGTTTTTTTTTTCTTTTCGCGTGCGAAGCAAGTGGCCTGTACTGAGAGGTTCGAAATTCACGCGAATACAATTTATCGTGTGACCTGCGTATATTGAAATATTCCTATGTAATGGAAACCGCGCGTACCACTATGCAGGCGGAAACGACAAAGATAAAACACAACAATACAGATTGTATGTGTCACGTGGGTCTCAGTAGCTGGTTGCAATGACGTCAGCTTTACCAAACATCAGCAGTACACTCCTCTGTAGCCGACCTTATACACTGTAAAAAATGAGCGAGTAAAAAGGGTGTCATTTTGTCCCACAACAATAATCGTCAACTATGTTGCTTTCCATCCTTGCGCTGTCGCCCCACGACCGGTACATTCCGGTCACGATCGACATGGCCATTATCAGGGTTACATTGCGTTCTCGATAAGAAAGTGGCCAGCGCCGAGTTTTCAAGAAAGGAAGCGCACGCAAGCCTGATGACGATTATTGTTGTGGAACAAAAAGGCACCCTTTTTACTCGATATTTTTTTAGAGTGTACCTTTCCTCTTATTCCAGGTCCAGTGGGTACAATCCTTTTTTTTCAACAATACTGTCATTATATTAAAGCACAAACATATTGAACTCGTGGCAGCATTATTCATGCGTGATGATTGAACATCTCAACATTCCGTTTGTTAGCTAGATTGCAAGGTACAGATGCTAAAAAAGTTTTGGACTTGCGCTTTTATGTTGTGTTTTCTTGTGGTGTCTTTTGCACAGCAAATTCAATAATTAAGCGGGAAATGTTTCCACGTGCCCTATAATTCTGCGCAGGCCTGGTGTTCGTTTTTCGAGTGTTCAGCTTCCCTCAATGAATTTTATTCGTTAGACGAATAATAATAATAATAATAATAATAATAATAATAATAATAATAATAATAATAATATCGTTTTGGACTACGATAGACAAGTCGTCTGCGTTGGCAAACAGCGCGACGGGAGGGGCGCCCGGTGGAAGGGGAAACTGAGAAAGTCGGCTGTCGCCAGACAGTCGCTGCAGAAGCGGTTCGAACGCGAGCACGTATTATTATTGTTATTATTATTATTATTATTATTATTATTATTATTATTATTATCATCCCGGATTGAGCGTCCGAAAACCACGATTTGGTTACGAGAGATGCCGTGGTGGAGGGCTTCGGAATTCTTGACCAGCTGGGGTTTTTTTTAACATGCACCTAAACGTAAGTACACGAGCCTCAAACATCCTCTCTTCCGTCGAAAATGGCCCCGCCATGGTGGTCTATAGTGGCTAAAGTACTCGGCTGCTGACCTGCAGGTGGAGGGATCGAATCCCGGCTGCGGCGGCTGCATTTTCGGTGGAGACAGAAATGCTGTGGGCTCCTGCGCTCAGGTTTGGGTGCACGTTAAAAACCCTCAGGTGGTCGAAATTTTCGGAGCCTTCCACTATACGGAGTCTCTCATAATCATATGGCAGTTTTGGAACTTTAAACTCCACATATCAATGAATCAGTCAATAAATAAATAAATAAATCCGTCAAAAATGCAGCCGCCGCAGCCAGGATTCAAACCTAGGGCCCTCTATTAGATGGCGCTCATCCTGTGTCCCTTTTATGCGCGTCTTTGTCGTTTTTGCGCATGTATTTCAAGGGACCACCTTCGCGTTCAAAGACGAAGGAGTGGTTTTTTTCTCGCCTTCGCTATGTTTTTTTACATGCGATATCTCCTCCCCGCCACTCTATTCTTAAACACGTGTGCCACATAAGATCTAAGGCCTGGGGCTATCAAGAGTTCACGCTTGTCGACTTATCTCCGCTTGCGCAATCTGACACACAGAAAAGGAAGTGGAATCTGTTGATCACGCGTGGTATATAGTCACGCGGGACAAGGAAGAACGGATGGGCAGCTGCATGGCAAAGCAGTCCACGAGGCAATTCAGATATGATATTTCGCGCATATGGATCAATCGATGATTTGATTGATATGTGGCGTTTAACGTCCCGAAACCTCCATACGATTACGATAGACGCCGTAGTGGAAGGCTCTGCATGGAAGTTTCGGCCACTTGGGGTTCTTCAACGTGCACCCAAATCTGAGCACACAGGATTCTACAGCAAGTTGAAGGCTGTTTCCAGTGAGGAGAACAAAACATCATGTGGGCCGGAAGCTATTGAAGCTCGCCGAAGACACTGAGACGAAGAAGAAGACAATGGGCAGGGAAGAGCATGCGCGTTAATAAGTGAATAATAATAAAAAGAAGATTCTTGCTTTTCGTTCACATCCAACGCAGTCGACGCTTGTCTCGTCTCGTTTCTGCGACATGACCCTTTAAGTGACCATCTATATTCTACCTCAACACTTTTTTTACTTTACAGCTCTTCACCCACAGAGGCCCGTAACAGCTTTGCCGTGGTCACAAAAGCAATGTCGGAGGGGCACTTTGTAAACCACTCACCGATATCTGTGGTCAAGTGCGGTAGGGCTACTGCGAGCCGACGGCCTTCCCGACGGTGCGCTTCGTGCAGCGGGCAGCGGTGCCGACCTTGGCACGTCGGTGGTGACCACCGTCGTGGCTTCCGAGGAGTCCTCGCTGCTGTCCCCGGGCGTCCGGCGATGCAGAGCCGACAGGAAGGCGTGCAGGCTTCCCCTGGACGGCTTGCGGCGTTTGCCCAGCGACCCTTGCTGCGCCAGTAGACGCTTGTCCTTTCTGGGCGCTGTGGTCCAGAACAGGACCGGACGACGGCACCACGCCGGGCACCAGGCCCACCGCCGGCAGCCCGTTGGCCGCACCACCGCCCACCTGCGCAGAGAAATAAAGAGAATTAGACGAAAGATTCTGGGAAGATAGCACAGCCATCCCCTCGTTTAAGAGATCACAATGTTTCTCAAGCATTCGCCCAAGACGACTGTAATCCGAAAGACACTATCTTCTAATCAGTCGACCTATTGATCCTTCTCCTGTCACCGCCTACCTCCAAAAGCTACTGCACCAATAACGGTTTTGCATGGTTTCCAGGATCAGAAGCATAACAAGAAAGACATCTGCGCCATAGAGTTTCCTAAAGTTAACAGCCGGGGATCTGGCGCTGCGATCGTCCAGTGGCCATAGGAATAAGAGATAGTACACAGATTTTCCTACTCTTCGTACTCGCGGGCGGCAAATCACACTTGTTGCTTTGTTTATAGCTGTATTTTGCTTTCGTTTCGAATGATCAAACGAGTCGTATTGAACTTCGTGACCCGATTTGAATGGGTGAGCCCAAAAGGTTACGGTGGTCAAGTGCAACTGCTGAACACTTGCCGATTGTTGTTTCGTGACAAAGTAGGTCTAAGCCACGCGAAGCCAAACGAAGCCGAAAGTACGAAGACTAGACAAATAGATGTATAATCCATCACTTTCACGCTCGCTGATGCGCCATGCGTAGCAGCTGCCATAGACACTGGCGCCATTGTTCTCTCGAGTGTATTTATGGGAAACTCTGATCTGCACCGCCTATAGTTTTGCACTGCCTCCGTGATCGACCCACCTTTGACCAAATGACGATGTCATCTGATGACGTCACGTTAAGCAACGTCGTAGTGACGTCACTAAATGTTTGCGATCTGTGAAGTTTACGTCACATTATACGTTGACAAGCATAATGGTTTTTTTTTTTTTTGCAGCACTCATGTTGACACCAAGTCGACTGGTCGATAGTCGACGGCGAAGGTAAACTTTCGCGTTTAATGAGACATCTAAGGTTTCCGCTTTATTAACAATTAAAATTTTAAATCACGCAAAGTAATTGTGACTTCAGCCATTCAATTTAGGCATATTTCACTATTTCAATGATGTGAGGCAAGATGAAATCTTGAGGTGTTTGTTGTAGAATGGTCACAGAACTCAAGTAGCATCACTAGCATCAATAGCATAGCCTATAAAATTAACTTCAGTAATCTTAAAATTTTATTTCACACGTTTCCAGTATAACGCGAATCTGGGCACACCTATGCATCTACAGGACTCGTGGAATGTGCAGCTTTACTACAACATAGCTATACTGATTTTAGATACCGTTTCTCAATACGACATCCCAACTAAATACTATTCAATACGCCCTCGATGCAACATTGAAGAAACAGTGACTTGCGCATACTCAGTTGTTACTGAAATATATGTATTTTTATCTCCTTTTTTTATCTCCAGGTAGTCGCCAAGAAGAACCTCACATAATCCGACCACGTATCTCAACACAGATTTTGCCGATAGTTATAGCGCTAGAACAACACGACGACACAGAGACAAGAAGGACCCGAAAGACACGAGCGCTTTCATGTCCTTCTTGTCTCTGTGTCGTCGTGTTGTTCTCGCGCTATAGCTATCGTCATGCCATACCAACTAGCCCAAGCTGCCACAGATTTTGCGTCAAGAAAGCCTTCAACGACCTCACAGTCTAATAATAGTTATCGGCATTTATTGTTCCGAAATCAGGATATGATTATGAGAGGCGCCGTGTTGGAAGACTCCACAAAGTTCGACCACCTCGGGTTTTTTTTAACGTGAACATAAATCTAAGCATACGAGCTTTTTTTTTTTTTTGGCCTCCGTCGAAAGTGAGGTCGCCGCTCGCCGCGGCCGGAATTCGATCTCGCGACCTGGGACACAAAGTCCGTGTATATTTTTTTTTCATTTTCATTTTATTACCTTAAAGACCCTACTAGGGGGTGTTACATAAGGGGTGGATGTAGAGAAATTATACAAAAAAGAAAATGCTAACCATGTATGTTAATTGCGAGACAGACAATGAGTTACATTTTGTAAAAATAAACTCGGGCAGGTAATGGCTGCAGTGCTGTGGGAAAGGTCGTTCCATTCAGATGATGCCCGTGGAAAGAAGGAGGCAGAAAGTGTCTTTCTTGGTGTGGCTGCTTGGACGGATGACTTGTAGGGCATGACCGGTGCGATGAGATATGCGGGCTGGAGTGGTGATAAAGTCCGGTCGGTGAGTATTACCAAGCCGAAAACATTATATGATTATGTAGCGCTCGCTAGCACGGAAATGCGAAAATTCTAACCATCCGGTGTTCTTCAAGCTGTAGTGACACATGCCTCGGAAAAACTTATCTAAGTAGGGCTTAGTGTCATGACAGCATCGTTAATTCGAGTTGATGACTACATTCAACGATATAGATATCTGCCGTGGAATGCATATTTTTTCGCCAAATCGAGAATACGTAAAATCTGGTTTTGTAAGGTCGAGTTCTAACCGTATGTGCTGTGCTGTAACTGTCCCTACTTTACCACTATGAAGATCGAGGACAACTAGCGAGGGAATCGTGTTGATAACACGGAAGTAATGAAGAAGAAGGCAAAGGAGTAAAGAAAAGTCGAAGAGTTCCTGTTTGCCTCACTTGCTCTGTATATGAAGCGGCCGTACCAAAGCGCAGGCTTTTAAACAAGAGCCTCGCCTGTTCTTCTCGGGCAATAACGGCAACAAACAGGAAGGCGCACATCGGTCGCTATTTTCCTCCCTGTTCGAAAATAGAAAAGGCAGGCCCAAGTTTTCCTTATCGTTACTGATGTTGTTGTGGTCACTTTGCGTATACCATCGGCCCGTTCTTCAAGAGAAACTGTCCGCTTGTTTTCCGTTAGGTACAGAGTTAATTAGTCCTGTATACTATTGCAGGACGTCCGTCCAATAAGCCGAACGCAGGAGAGAAGTCAGGCGTAAGGCGGTAAATATGTATTGGGAATAATCTCCAAGAAATAACAGTTTTCGAACAAAAATACATTCACCATGCATTGGGGATATTCGCCCAGAAACCCCTTTTGCTCGATAGGGAAAAACTTTTCACACAAATGTTTTTTTTTTCTTTCCTTTCGTTCCGCGACGTGTTTTCGTATTTCGGCTTCGCCAGTTCCGAAGAACCGCTACATACAACAAATGCGAGCACCATCGTGGCCCCCTTTAAGCGGCGTGTCATCAATTCATCGGTGGTGGCGCGCCTAATTTGGCATTCTTGCGCCAGCACAGACGGACAGAGCACGCGCAGTGTTGTTCTCAGATCGAGGACGATGACAGTGCCGGTTGACCTGCGCGTTGCCGGAAGAGGCGCAACAAGGACTCAGAGTGGCGTACAACGCCCGTCACATCCCTGCCGCACGATAAGCATCACAACGTGCATATTGGATAGGATCCGCGCTAGGCTTGACAAGCTTAATTCACCACTTTTTCCTTCTGGAATTAAAGAACGGGGTCGTTGCTGGAGCCTTTTGTTGTCATCTTGGCTGTTATTTTTTTTTGTCCTTCTTGTCCTTGTCGTCATCACCGCGATCATTGTTTTTATCCTTGTCGTCATTGTTGCTGTCCTTGCGGTTGTTATCGTCATTATTCTTGTTGTTCTCCTTGCTGTTGTCACTTTTGTTATTGCCGTCGTTGCTGCCATTTTTATTGCTGCCCCTGTTGTCGTCATCGTTGTTGTTCTTGTCATTTTTGTTGCCGTTGTCCATTTTGTGGTCGTAGACGTTGTTGCTTTTTCGGTTATTCTTGCCCTTGTAGTTCTCGTCATTAATTGTTGCCGTCATTTTGTTGTCATTGTCCTTGTCTACGCTGTTTTCAGGGGCGATGCTCTTTAAGGTCGAGACTTGTCCGTTGGCATTGTTGTTCGCCGTAGCTGCCGCTGACGATGCCGATGACAAGCGCGTTCCAGACCACACATGCCATCACGGCACAGCACATGCAAGCTACCCTCTATACGTCATGACAATGACGACTACGCTCATAACAACAAGCGCGTTCCAGATCACACATTCTATTCTTGCCATCATGGCGCCGAATATGCAAGGTACCTACTATACGTTATGACGATGACGCTGATGACAATCGAGATAGTGACAATGATGATCGCGGACAACGACTGGCTTGTGCAGTAGATGACGTCTCGATATGCTCTGCGATGCTTTTCGTATCAATGTAATTAAGCACCAGGGGATCGCGCCCAGAGCTCGTCTTTGCCAACTTCGAGCTACACTCAATTCGCAACTTTCACCGCCTAGAGAGGGCGCTAGTGCAAGCCCAACATGACGCAAAGCGGTGAACGTGATGCGCAAACGAAGTCTTTGGTGCTGCACCGCTTCCTGCTGGTTTGGGAAATGTGGAAGTGTGTGCATGTCCCATGCTCTTCGTTTGCCAATGCTGTACTAACCTTCCAACCAGGAACCAGACAGTGGCTGGAACGAGGGCAGCGAGAGGTTGGTCGACTGGCCTTGGGATGCCACGAACGAGTTGCTATAGAGGCTATTCAAGGAGACGTTGGATGGTCTTTGTATGAGGCCCGAGAAGCCAGGAGCAAGATAGCCTACGAGGGCCGCCTGCGTCTCATGAATGGCAACAGGTGGGCAATGCGCTTGTTCCGATACACCAGCCTGACTGGAATAACGACACAGTGAACTGCGCGCGTGTACACCCTGCGCCGAAAGTTTGGTTTCTTCGCGAAACCCGTGAAGGCAAGCGCAGAGTGCGGATGGGCCCGTGCCTTCCAAGAACAGGTACGGGAGGAAGAGAATGAGCAGTGGTGGAGGGCGATGCGTTCCAAGGCAACCTTGACGGTATATCCAAGTTGCAAGAATGGAATATACAAAGAGCGCATGTACGACAACAATGGCGGTAGTGGCCTTCTGTTCGAAGCACGGGCTGGGGCACTACAAACCCTAGTGTACCGTCGCCGATTCGACCAGAATACCGATGACACGAGTGCGATGTGCCGGGTGTGCGGGCAGGAAAAAGAAACTATCCTTCATCTAGTGCTACGCTGTACGTG